ACCCAAAATTCAGCAGCATTTTTGTACACGGAGAATGAACACACTGAGAGAAATTAGGGAAAGCACACCTTTCACAATAACATTTAAAAAAAAAGTACTTGGAAATCAATCTCAAAAAGGATGTAAAAGATTAACACAGTGTAAATTATGGTACTGTGAGAAAAGAGATTGAAAAGGATTTGAGGAAACATGTTCCATGCTCCTGGGTAGGAAGAACCAACATTATAAAAATGGCCATACTCCTAAAATTGTTATACAGATTCAATGCAATCCCAATTAAAATACCATTAGTATACCTTACAGAGCTAGAGAAAATTTTCCTGAAATTCATTGGAACCAGAAGAGATTCAGAATATCAAAAGCAATCCTGGGGGATTAGGGGGATGGCTCAGTGGAATAAGTGCTTCCCTGGCAAGTGCAAGGACCTGAGTTCAATCCCTGGTTCAAAAAAACAAAAAACAAAAAACAAAAACAAAAACAAAAACAAAAAAGCAATCCGGGGAAACAAAGGAAAAGCAGGAGGTATCAAAATCCTTGACCTGAAATTGTACTATAAAGCTACTGTGATAAAATTCAGCATGCTACTGGCATAGAGACAGACCTGATGTTCACTGGAACAGATAAGAAAATGCAGACACAACTGCAAACGTACTCGGCCATCTTATCTTTGATAAAGGGACCAAACAAGCTCACTAGAAGAAAGATAGCCTCTTTAATAAACAGTGCTAGAAAAACTTACTTTCTACATGCTGAAGGCTAAAATTAGACCTATCACCATGAACAAAGCTACAGCCAAAATGGATCAAAGATTTAAATATTAAAACAGAAACACTAAATTTTCTGGAGGAAAATATAGATAGAAAACTTAAAGACATAGGGGGTAGGTAGAGAGTTCATGAACAAAAACCAAACTGCATGGGAAATACTTCAAAGAATCAACAACTGGGATTTCATCTTTTTGAAAAGTTTCTGTACTTCAAAATAAATCTCTGACAGACTAAAAAGAAAACCAAAAATTGTGGGGAAAAAAAAGGACCAGGAATATAAATCAGGGACATAAGTGCCTACTGGTAAGTGTAAGGTCGCAAGTTTGATCCCCAGTACTGGGAAAAAAACAAACAAACAAACAAACAAACAAACAAAACTGGGAAAAAAAATTATAGCCAACAAAGGCCTTCTATCTAGAACATAGAAATAATTTTTTAAAAATCAGGCTCCCCAAATTCAAAGACAGAATCCAACATTGGGCATCTGAAATGAATATATACTTCTCAGAGGTAGAAATACAGATGGCAAGTAAATACATGAAAAAAAATTCAACATCATCGGTCATTCAAGAAATGCAAATTAAAACACTGAGATTCCATCTTATCCCAGAACGAATGGCTAATATCAAGAAGTCAGCCAATAACAAATGCTGAAGAGGCTGTGGAGAAAAAGGAAACCTTCTGCACTGTTGGTGGCAGTGCATACTTGTACAACCAATATGGAAATCAGTGTGGAGATTCCTTAAAATGCTATGATTGGAGATCCCATTCAAGCCAGCTAGTTCCTTCCTGGGTATTTTTCCAGAATTGAAAACCTCATACCACAGTGATATATGTGCATCCATGTTTATAGCAGTGCAATTTGTCATAGCTAAATTCTTGAAACAACCCAGATGTCCATCAACTGAAAAATGGATAAGGAAGATGTGGTTATTTTTACACAATGCAGTTTTATTCAGCTATACAACAGGATAAATTTGAGTCTGTGTTAGTAAATGGAGGAAACTAGAGGACATACTCTTAAGTAAAATAAATCAGACCCACAAGTGAAAACATCGTATTGTCTCCTTAGTGTGAGAACTTGAATATGAATAACTGATTGGAAGATAGTATTAAAACAAATAGTGTGAAATTCGTATTACTTTGATAAGTCAAAATCTGTATCACTTATAATTTTTTCTGTTTTAATTCTAATTTGTAGTCTTCTTTTTTTTTTTTTTAAGAGTTCTGAGGTAGAGCAAGGTATCACCGGGCCAGGGGCAGAGTGTGCATGTGTATCTAGATCCTCTGTCTCTTTCTCTCTGATGCAGCTACCAGTACCCAATCATAGGACTCTCCAATGACATTATCAATCTAATCCCCTCCCAAAGCCGCTACTATTTTTTTTTTGGCCACCACTTTTTAAACAACATAGTCACACTGTTTCACCCTTTAATTACCCTACAATAGGAATTAAATTTCAACAAAATACATGAACTCATGGGAGTTACCTTCAAATCCTGTCTAAATAGCAATAAGGTTGTCCTATGTATCTAACAATAAAGTTTGACTTCTTTGGCCTATGGACCATTGTCTCAGCACCATTTGTTAAAAAGATTGTTCTTTTACCATTAAATTGTCTTGGTGCCTTTGTTGAAAATCAGTTGACTGTAAATTTGTGAGTTTAATTCTGGACTCTTGATTCTATCCTGTTCTGTTTATGGTTGACCTTCTGCCAGTACCACACTGTCTTGGTGACTGTTAACTTTGTAATAAGTTTTGAATAGGATAGTATGGATCCTCCAACTTTTTTGTTTGGTTTTGTTTTTGTTGACTATTCAAAATATTCTGGTCCCTTGAGTTTTCATACAAAGGTTAGGATTTGCCTATTTATTTCTGCAAAAAAGCCAAGTAAGATTTTGATAGAAATTGATTGCATTCAATCTATAGATAAATCTGAGGAATGTTGTCATTATAGCCATGCTGAGCTTTCTAATCCATGGACATGGAATGTCCTTCCATTTATTTTGATATTTATTTATTTATTTATATTTTTTGGTACCAGGGATCAAACTCAGGACCTTGCATTTGCCAGGCAAACACTTACTCAACTGAGCTATCTCCCTGGCCCTCGATCTTTATTTAAAGTGTTTTGCAGTTTTCTCAATATATGTATCCTACTTAGTCCTTGTTGCTATAGCGTAATATTTAGACTACATAATGTATAAAAATTTAAATTTATTGCTTACAATTATGGAGACTGGGAAGACCAGGATCAAGACTGCAGTAGACTCAAGAGCCTAGTATTTGCTTCCAAGACGGTGCATTTCTAATAAGTTTGTGAGTCACGGTGGAGCTGCTGGCCTGGGAACTACAGCTTGGAAACCATAGGTAGTGTTAGCCAGTTATGGAGAGTATGAGAAGTGAGACCACAGGATGGAGGTGGTGGAAAACAGTAAATGAATGGCCCCTATAGGGGTCTCTGGTTATGCCTGTCCTTTCTTGTGAAGTGAAGCTTGCAGGGGGTCAAGTCAGTATAGTACAGAAGATAATGACAGAGTTAGGAGCCCAGACCATATACAGTACTACAGACCCAAGTTTGAATTCATTCTTTGCCATATACATCTGTGTGACTTTGGGCAAGTTATTCAAACTCTCCTTTGTTTCTTTAAATGTAAGGTAGGGTTAATTATAGGGCTTCATAGGATAACTGGAAAATACAGCCCTTAGTGCAGTATCTGGTTCACTGTGAGTCAGCTCTCGTTGCTGCTGATTCCCTGGCACTGCCACACAAGACCAAGGTCTTTTGGGGATGTTTTCACTGAATGAGACGTGCATCGATTTGGGTGGACTTGGTTTTGCTATTGGGTGCCTTGATAGCCCAAATTGCAAAGACTGATGTGTGTGTGTGTGTGTGTGTGTGTGTGTGTGTGTGTGCATACGGTGCGAGGGTCACTGTCTGAGAGGGGGTGCGGCCCAGAGGAATAGGAAGGGGACCCTGGCTTCACTGTGGGTCTCGGTTTCCTTCCCTGTGAAGGGAGGTGGAGGAAAGAGATTCTAGATCTATCAGATCTGGCCCTACACCTGATTTTCTCAGTGCCACGGGAACTCTGTGAGTTTGGACTTGTCAACGCAAGGGGGCAGCAGCAGACCAGGCTCTCGATGCCATTTGCTGGAATGGGCTGGTGTTAATTCTCGCCATGTTGTAAAAGAAAGGATCCAAAAGGCTGTCTGCTCTTAGTGGTTTCTGCGAGGCCAGGCTCTAAATCACATCTAATGCCACGGTCATCAGGATTTTCAACATCACCCCGTCCCCAAGGCCTTCTCCATCACTAGTCCTGCTTCATGAAAAAAATGCCTGCCAAGTTCTCTGCTCTAAGATAGGGGCCTGGGTGGCTGCTGTGTGCTTTACAAAGTGCCAACAACTCCCTTCTTCCAGGCTCTGGGAGGATTTGAGCCTTGGGTGCTTGCATTGCTCTCCCATGGAATTCAGTTTCAAATAAAACACCCACACATTACCAGTCTGTTCGGATGTGTGGGTAGGAGATCTTAGCAATCTGTGGGTGGGGACACACTGTCCCTTGCTTGGAGCTGGTGACCCTTGTCTTGTGAGCTGGGAAGGGATGGGGAGAAAAGGGGAGACTGACCATGAATTGAGATGAGAAACCCAACTATAGAAACAAGATGTGGGTCTGGCCTGTGAATCTGGAGGAGGTGGTTCTGGGATCTCAGGGAAGGGTCGAGTGGGGGTGCAGCTCACGTGACCCCCAGGAGAATTTCAACCTGAGGCCAAAGGGAGTTGGCATGAGGCCTAAATAAAAAGATGACCTTTTTCAGGGAATTTGGGGAACTTCCAGACAAAAGCTGACCTAAGCCAGGCAGGGGAAGTAGGATGCAAGGGCTAAAAAGACAAGGTCAAGGTCAAGTTAAAAGGTCAGCACATTGACCAGAAGGAAATTGACACATAAATTGTTAACAGGAAGTTGTTTAATAGTTTAAACTTATACCAGATGATTCTAGCTACTGGAGTCATATAATCGTATGGCATTCAGCTCAGTTCCTTTTTTTTTTTTAATGCTTATACACATAGCCAAGATTTTTACTGTTAACCATGGTGAGCACAAATGGGAGAATATTAATGGGCCAAGGACAGATTGCTCACAAGGTCACAAAAGGACTGATTTGAATTCATAAATACTCTGGTGAATCACTAGCATTTTTGAGTTAAATATACATATATATCATATACTGTATATATATATTATATATATATATGATTTCTGAAACTTCATTTGCATTTGTAGTCTTGCAATAACTTTGTCAGAAAGAGAAGGCAGATACTTTGAAGCTAAGATCTGTATTTTTTTATAGATGTTCTGCTTCACCAAAAGTGCAGATTACATTGTATTGCACATATGTTGAGTAGTACACAAAGATAGGACAATAAACACTGACTTGACTCAATAACTTGCCTGATGAAAGGCTTTCTTAAGCTTAAAAACATTCCCCAGTCAAGCATTCAGAGGAAGCTGTCGGGCTTCGCACTGCAGCAAGGTATTTTCTAAGCAACTCAAGGGCTCTGGTATTTCTTGCCTGCAGGTTCTTCTCAGATCTCAGCTCATTCTTGATGGCTTCAAGCTCGTGGTGAATCTTTTCTATTTCTAATTCATAGTACGATTTCACATCTACTTTCAGGAGTGCATTTCCTAGTTCAGCCTGACGCTTCAGCTTCCTCATGGCCTCTTTTAGATCTCTGTTCTCTAGACTCAGCTTGTGGATGATTTCTTTGGCTCGCTGGAGTTCTTCAGTTAAGTTTTTAACATTTGTTGCTTTTTCAGATAGGTCGTTTTTTAAAGCTTGAAATTCCCAGTCTTTCTTTCCTTTTTCTTGAAAATGGAGGGATTTTGTGGAGACCTCCCTTTTGGAGTTCAAAAGTTCCTTTTCAGCATTTTCAAATTCCTTTTCTATTTTTCGGCATTTCATATTGAGTTCTTCCAGTTCTTCATTCAAAAGGTTCAGGCGAAGTTTTGGGGACATTCCTTTGGTCAGGTTTTTCCTCATGCCTTGCTGTGGGAGGGCCCGTAACTCCTTTCTGCACCTGCAAGAGGGGTCTTCTGTTCTGTTAAAGCTTTCTTCACTCATGACATCCAAATTGAATGAGTCATAGGAGGAAAAATTTGTGTCTTTGTTCTTGAACTTGTTTATCCCCCTCCCTCTTAAATTTGATTCTTGTTCTCTTTCATTTAGATGAGAAATATATTCTTTCCTCCTAAATTTATTTTTTTCTTGACACTTTCTACTGAAGAAATGATCAGTTCCTCCCATTCTCTTAGCTTTGTCTACAGCTATTTGTTCAGAAGAGGATTCAGGTGTAGTGGCCTCTTCTAGAACATCCTTTGCATTAAAAAAAGGAGTAAACATATTTTCCTTCCAGTGTTTTCTTCTAGCACCCATGTCTTCAGGTACTTCTTTCAGTTCCCTTTCTCACGTCCAGGGTCTCACACTGATCGCTATCACTTTCCTCTGAGTTGAGCTGAAGAGAGTCCTGTCTGCTCCTCCCTGAAGCTGACCACGACCAGCAGCAGGTGGCTGCTCCTTATTCAGTCAATGTGACCCAGTGAGGCTGGCCTAGGCTCAGTTCATGCCCTGAGCCTGCATCAGAGGGGATCTGTCAAGGAGAGAAAGGATAGGCCAAGAGCCAACTCCTGATTTCCAGAGATCCTTTTCCTTCTTTCCTTTTCTTCTCACTAAGTGGTAAGAGCAGAAAACCAAACAGGGAAGCAGCAGCCAGGAAGAGGTAGATCACGAATATGGACCATGTTCTCAAAGACCCTTCACCTTCCCAGGATGCCACATTCGCAACCTTCTGTTAGAGTCTGTCCCCTCTGCAGGCTGGGGGATTGCAGGGACAGCGAAATACTTAACCCTCAAATTTGGTGGCCTTTTTGGTAGCTGCCACCCAAATTACCTCCAAAATTAGTGGTGTGATCCTAAAGCAGTTGGGGTGGTGGGTAGTCAGTCCAGGAAGTGCCTTACATCTCAGTAAGATTCTCATGGAGGAAGAGTTGGAGGAAATTCAGGAAAGGCCTCACCACAGACCTGAATGATTATTGATCATGGAGACTGTTGCAGAGAAGCTTGGGTGAAACTTGGTTAATATTTTGCTGAAATACAGGGAAGAAAGAAGGCAGATTAGATCATAATGAACTTCCTTGGCAATGTCACAAAAACACCCACATGCAGAGCTCACCCACATTCATGTCAACAAGCCCTGTCAAAGGCTTTGGGCTTGCTGCCTGTCCCCAGGCCTGCAGGAGTATGAAGTCACCTTAGCCTGTGAGGCTCCCTTCTTCCCTCTCTGGGGCTGGTGTGGGGCTGACCTTGTGTTAGACTCATCCTGGAGTCCCTTGAGTTCTTGGAACTGTCTACTGCTGGGCTTTTGCTGACTTCCTCACAGAGGTTGCCATGGACACGTGGACTCTGGAAGGGAGAGAACCTACCTCCACAGAAGGGCATGGGGCCTTGGGCAAGATGGCTGCTGGGTATTGGTTCAAATTTGATGCATGGGGGGAAATCACAGTCTTTTCTGGTCTTCTATTCACAGTCTTCTATTCACAGATAAAGCAGACTTCAAGGGTGATGGGGAGCTAGGTAATCACCAACTAAAGCTTTAGAAGAAAATTTATTTCATTGGCAGTAAAAGACACTTTTAGAGATGAAATCTGACTACTATCTGGTAGGTCCCTGGGAAATACTGCCAGTAAAAAGCACATTTGGAGAACCTTAAGATTTTGATTTTTAAAAATCTGGTCAGACATTGGTTTTTAAAAAATCATACACACTACAGTCACTCATTGTTCACCTAAAATTTGCTGCTGTACTTCTTGTAGTAGTAGAACCCTTGCGTTTGCTAAAACACAGTGACACTTGGCCACCATGACACACATCTGCAATCCCAGCTGTTTGGGAGGCTGAGGCAGGAGAATCCAAAGTTTGAACCCAGCCTAGGCATTTTAGGAAGATGCTGTCTCAAAATAAAAAAATAAAAAGCACTTGGAATGTAGCTGAATACTAGAGTACCTCTGGGATCCCTGGTAAACAAAACAAAATAAACCAATCCCAACCAAACCTCATGCTTTTCACTAGCAGAGTACTAAAAAATTTGAGGCCGAGTAACACTATACAGCAGTGCTTGAAAGTCCTCAGAAAGTTTAACATAGATTTACCACTTGATCAGGAACTCTGCTCTTAGATGTATATCCAGTGAAATGAAAACACATCTAAGTAAGTGTTTGTATGAATGTTCATAGCAGCATAATTCAAAGTGGCCAAAAAGTAGAGAAATTAAAATTTCCATTAACTGTTGATGGATGAACCAAGCATGATATATCTATGTAATGGAATATTACCTAGCCATAAAAAGAATACTGGGAGACAATGGGGAGGGACTGAAATACTGACTCAGGCTATAACACTGAGGAACCTTAAAAGCACTGTGCTAATGGAAAGAAGCCAGACAAAAAAGGCCTCATGATGTATTGTGTCATTTACATAGGATATAGAATAGGCATAGACAGGGATAATAATCAATTCATGGTTGCTGGGGTGAGGTGTGAGTGACAACAGAGAGAGACTATAAGAAATGAGGAAGTCCCATTTGGGGAGGTGAAAATATTCTGAAATTACACACAACTCTGTTAATGTATTAAAAGCTACTGAATTTCACAGTTTTGAAAAAGGTGAATTTTATTGTATATGCATTTAATTTTATATTTTGTAAATTATATCTAGTAAAATATGAAACATGAAATTTCATTCAAGACACATATTATGTGCTCAAGATGTACAGTGAGCTTAGTGGTATAGTGTGCGTAAGGCCCTGGGATCGATTCCCAGTGCTTACACATATGTATACCTATATGCAAATATATACATACATACTATATACACATGTGTACATGAACATTTAAATATAGCCCAGTTTGAAATGACAAGTAAAGGAGAAAAAGGGAGTGGAAAAGTTAAAAACAGTTGGTTTCAAAAAGAAAATGAGACAAAAGAGAGGAAAAAGAGGCTAATTTCATGATTTTTACTTGATGAAAAATGTCTCTTGTAGTTGTCTGAATTTCTGTTGGGTTGTGGTCTTTAGAATGCTATCTCCTGTGAACTTTTTTTTTTCCTGTGAACTTTTAATTAACAAACTAGCTGTTGTTTCCAGATTTTTTAATTGCTCATAGGACGTAGAAGGTGCAGCTTCAGTCACTACCAGAGCTGGGTTTTGCGTCTCAAATATACTGAGACTTGCCATCAAAGTACAGGTTCTCCATTGCCAACCTTAATCTTGCTTATGATCACAGGGAAAAGCCCAATAAGTCTATCTTTTCTAGGATAGACCTATCACTCTCACTCATCTGGTACAATTTTATAAATAAATAATATGAGGTCTTCAGCATGAATTGGTCTTGACCTATTTTCAAACTCCAGATGAGTAGAAAGCTCAGCCTGTAGATACAAGGTCTGGCATGCACAATGAGTGCACGGCAAGTCTCTTTTCATATTCAGAAATTACTCTTCCTACTGAAACAAAGGTAATGAGAAAGGGTGGGAAAGGGTAGGAAAGACAACAAAACAGTTATATCTAGACAGTTCTCACAACGTGCTCACATAAGAGCAACATGGGTTTGAAGTTCTGGGCCTTGTTAGAGGTGTCCATAGCCTATCCTGTTCTTACTTTTTCTGGGCAAGCAATCTCCCAGACTTCTGACTGGCCTCAAATGTATGCCCTTCCATCTTTTCTCACAGCTTAGTCCCTCTTCCTCCCTAGCCTAGTCAAGTACAATACCTTTGTAACAGGCTTTCTAGACTCATCTTTCTTCCCCAACCCACACTTCACCCTGGGAGAGTAATCTCTCTCTGTGGTCCACATCACACTGTGTTCCTGCCCATCTGTTCTCTATGTTGGGAACAAGTAGAGCTACAGGAAGAGAAAATGCTGATGGCTAGAAGGACTGGGCTTCCCTTGCAGGGCCCTCAGATGCAGGAGCCTAGGGACATCACTGCATGGAGTGCCTTGGGTCAGCTGATACTCTCAGATAAGTGCACTTTGGTCACAATACATGAAAAAGGGGGCATTAAAAAGCCAAACAAACCAAACAAAAACTTCTGCCTGTGCTAATACAAACAAGGCAGTGAGCCCATCTGCTTAACCTAGAGTCCCAGCATGCATTGCCAGTGTCAGTATCTGGGTAGGGGACTGATCAGTCAGTGATACTTGAGTTGTGTCTCCAGTCCTGTTGTGGTAAGTTTTTGGTCCTGGGTCCTTTCATGAATTAAAGCTACTATCTCCAGGGACTGGAGAGAGAGCTCAGTTGACTAAAGTACCTGCTTAGGCAAGCTTAGGCAGGCTCAGGAACCATGGCTCCTTCTCCCACACCACATGCTGCACCAGCCCCACCCCCATGGTAGGCTGAGTTGGCCAGAGTCCGGTGTAGTGGTGAACATTTGTAATCCCAGCACAGAAGAGGCTGAAAGCCAGAGGATCACCACGAGTCCAAACTGCATAGTGAGACCCTGCAACAACCAAATTAAAAAAAAGAAAAAACAAAACTATTACCTCCATTTCTTGGACTCAGGGCCATGAACAGAGAATTTGTGGGAAAAACATTGGCAGGTGGGCTGGAGAGATGGCTCAGTGGTCTAAAGCACCTACTTAGAACAAGCTT